TATTGTCAGGGCAGCAACTAGTCATGCACTTACTTTCCGATAGAGCTGATTTGAATAATTCACCTTCTCTGATCTCTTTTTGAAGCCAGGAGGAACTAGCCTTTATGACCCCAAACTGCTGAACAGAGCTGTAGGAGTGACTCCAGCTGGACTTTCTCCAGTCCTTTTGCTTCCTAGCTCTGGTCCCCATCACTGCTGTGTTCCCCTTTGGCTCTCCTAAGGAGAAGCAGAGCGAGGGACCCAATCTCTAAGAAAAGGAAGTAAGATCATGTCTGGCCTGAAAGCAATTTGTAAATAAGGACCTTCAGAAAGCAGTTCCCTTTTTATGCTCTCTTACTCCATCTGTCCCTGGCCCTTGTGTCCCCTCGTGTGTGGCCCCGTGGGGAGGTCAGTCACTGTATGCTCACCCAAACAGCCACTGCTTCAGCAGGGAAATCGTAATGACAAAAGGACTGTTACAAAAATACTATCTCTGTCTGTTCCGCTGAGGCTCCTGGCCAAGCTGCAGCCAGAGGTGTTTGGAGAAGCTTAAATACAAATGAGCGAGTTGGACCCAGGCAGGTTTGAAAAACTATCTGACTTTAGTAAAGCAAACTCTTATTTAATCATTCCGCTGTTGCTTTAAAGGTGGCATATGCTGCCAGGTAAGTGGAAATAAGTTTGTTTTGAAGCTCTGGGTAAATGTCCTGTAGAGGAATGAAAATGTCAATCTGTAGCTGCATTTGTTTAATGACGTTGTATAAACAAGGCTGTGAGCACAGATCATCTTCTCACTTAAGCACCGCGTCTTAAAGGTGTCGAACTGCATCCCGCTCCTCCCAGTGCCCAGCCGTCCCTGTGCTCTGCTGGCAGAACGGCTGCGGGGATGCTCGGGAGGCTGCGGGGCTCAAATCTCCCCAGCTTGGCTTGTCCCCTCCTCCAGCTGCTGTTCAACCCAATCCAAAACTCCTGCAGCAGCTCAGGGTACTTGTAGGGTGTCTCCAGCCTGGATCTGCCACCAAGCACCAGGAAGGCAAGGATGGCTGCCAGGTAGGCGTCCCACCACAGCCCCACGGCTGCCCCCAGGAGCCGAGCTGGGGCAGGCATGGAGGTCTTCACCTCTCTGAGTGCCTGCTTTGTCACTGTGTTTAAGTGATGCTGCTCACCACCATCACCTCCTTGCCCGAATGGTCCTGTGGTGTGCCCCAGCGAAGGGCCACCTGGCATCACCCCAGGCTTACCAAACCCATGCAGCCTGCTGGCTGCAGAGCATCCACGTGGAGTAACAGGGCTGGAGCAATTACAGTTTAATTTCTCACCTGGGTCACTTAAGCAGCATCCCCACTGGGGATAAGACACAAAAAGCGAGCAGAGGTACAAGGATCGACTTTGTGCTTACTACTGGATCTCTTCTCCCTTATAAACTCATTTTGGACCCAGTTTTAAACCCATCCCCTTGCTTAGAAGGTGAACTGTTTGTCTAAAAGGGTTTTGTTTCCTCTCATACTAGAGGATCAGTTAAGAGGGAAGTTTATATTTTACTGAGGAAGGTGGCTTCAAAACAGTCCAAAAAAAAAAAAAAACCAAAAGAAGAAAAAGGGGGTATCCTTTTGTTGCAAAAGTCTAACAGGAACTAAACCAAGTGATTTCTCAGCTTTGCCTGTGTGGTCAACTGACATTCCTAATGAGAACAAATGAAGACACAGTGCGGTGCGTTAAAACCTATCAAGAATCAAAGAGTGCTTAAAGAACCAAACGGGCAAACCAAAGTAGCAAACACCCAGAAGTTCAGCCTGGCCCCAGGGAGATCTGCTTTTGGCCAGTTCATGCGGTACCTGCTGAAGTGCAAGACACTGGTTTGCAATTTAAGTCCGGTGGTGGTTAGCACCTTCGCTTTCCCCAGGTTTCTCTATTTTCTGCTCCGTGGTGGTGAGCTGTTGTGTAGCTTTGGGCAAGTCATTCAACCTCTTGCTTCCCATTTCTACTGGTAAAAATGGGAACTCTCTTTGCTCTGTTTACATCCCAGTCCCAAGTGGGCCAGGCGACTCTTCTTTACTGTCTTAACACAGCCGTTTACGGTGAACACCTACCTGTGGATGTTAAAATTGAAATAACACTGGGAGGGTGGCACTGAGAGCAGTGGCCACAGGGGAGCCCGGTCCTGTCATCGTACAGAGCACAGAGCACGGGGTGGTCGCGGTGGAGGGATGTACCCTCTCCCACATCAAGTCAAATCCTTTCCTCACCCATCATTTCAGAGGAGACCTGAATGTTACGGGGGGAACAGGACCTTCCTCTCCACTTGGACACAGGGCGGGTGCTCTACATGACTGTGCTGGCAAAGGTAATTATTTTTTTTTTAATCCCAAACAAGATAAAAGGTCCCTGATTGTAGAGTGGAAGATAAGAATGGTTTGATGTGGAAGAAATCTTTCAATAACAAAGGACTTTTTAGTTTGAGAGCACTTATGAGGTGTTGGTGTTATTGGCGAGATATTTGACGGCTTCTTTTTCACATCTGCTCAATATTCAGGCTGTGTTCTTAGCAATCTTTACCCTTTTTGTGAGGTTGAACGGGTTTGATTGGATTTTATGCAATTAGTATACGGCGAGAGTTTGTGAGGATTTGCTTCAATTCCGAGATGATTTCTCTTTGTCTGCTTGTGGTTTTCTGCAAATATGTGAGCAACTGCACCGTGATGGCAAAAGCGTTTGAGGAAAATGAATGTCAAGATCCCGTGTGCTGCTACTGCCGGAAGAGGGAATTTAGCTAAGATCTGCCAGCTTTCATAGTAAGAATTCTTGTGTGCTTTTCAGAAAATAGAAATGTAGTTGTTAGGGGATAGATAAGTCGTGTCTCTTACGGGTGTTGAATTACAGAAAGCAAAAGCATTTGGGAAGCTGTTCATTGAATATGCACAGAAAAAAAAAAAAAAAAGAAAATCACAGCGGGTTGTGGTTTCTGAGAGCAGGAAAAAGGCCAATCTTATGTCATAGGCTAATAAAATATATTAAGGATGAAGTCAGTAAAAGTTCTGTAGGAAGTCCTCTGAAACCAGGGACGAATAGCAACTTATAGTCAACATTCTTAGGAAAATACAAAGTTAAGTCAAATATGAGACAGAATTACATTTGGCCTCACTTGGTGTTGTAAGAAGACTTGGCAAAGGCTGGGTTCCCTTCAGGAGGGAGCAGTGCTCGCTGTGGGTAAGCTCTTCACGGTTCTTCTGCCAGGTGAGCTCCTCCATAAGTCACGAGACATTGCCTCGGTTCATGTTGTTAGTACTGAGAAACTCGGTCAGAAAGAAAAGATGGCTAATTCGGTGATTCCAAGTGTCTTGCTCTGGGAGGATTTCCACTTTGAGGGTGATGAGACCCTGGCCTAGGTTGCCCAGAGAAGCTGGGGCTGCCTCATCCCTGGAGGTGTTCCAGGCCAGGCTGGACGGGGCTTGGAGCTACCGGCTCCGGTGGGAGGTGTCAAGTGGAACTTGGTGATCTTTAAGTCCCTTCCAACCATTCTGTGATTCTGTGATGCCCAAACACAGAAACACCATTTCCAGTTTCCCTGGTTGGAAGGACCATTTCAGGCGAGTTGAGCACAAGCCCATGGGGGACTCCTTCCCCAGGCCCAAGTGTGACTTGAAAGGGCAGTTTTTAGGGGAGCATGAGCTAACCCCCCTTCTGCAGCGAACCTGGTGCCAACCAACGCGAGCCGTGGCCAAAGGGGAGTAGAGAACATGAAAAAGACACAGGGGTGTCTCACTGGCTTCTGAAACCTTGCTACCTGTTTCCATTGGTTGTTTTTTTTTTTACTCTAAATCGCTGAATGCTGATATTACTGCATTTTAAACTGGTTTTGGTAATTTTCCTGCTTTGATCGGTAGTCGCAGATTGAAAATCCCATTCTCCATGATCACCCCAGCACCAAAATCTTTGGGGGCTACTTTAGGTTCAGCGTTGTCACACTGAGAACACCTTATCTGCTTTAACCTTGCCCTTCCTGCTCTGGCTTGAAGGGTTCTCATTCCCAGCTGTGGGTGAAGCTCCCCAGCCTTCCCTCCATCGGGGAGGACGTGCCGGGGGGATACACCATTCTGGCGACTCCACGTTTGCCATGGTGGATTGATGAGACATGACGAGAGTTGGTCGCTGAACCAGGAGATGCTTGAATGGATTTCGGGGGAAGGAAGGGGTGTGAGAATCTCCCGCTGCTGCCAGCTTCCCTCCCAGTGTGTGACCGGTGGATCCGTCCGGCTTGAAAATCAATTCTCACCTTTTGCCTTCTAGAGAGGGCGAGAGCTCGTTATCTCACCCCGTGCCCAGGTTGGATGGAAAGGACGGAAGGGATTCATACTTGTCCTCCTAACTGGTCCCTAGAACCTTGTCCTCGGGACAGTATGGCTTTCCTTTTTCCCCGGGGAGAGCCCCGTGGGACTCCCAAGAACCCCTGATCTTTGCGGGAGGAGGATGGGGTGGTGCCCAACGCGGAGCAACTGGGTCCATCCTTTAACACAGAGAGAGAGACCCCGCCGCCCCAAACCTCGGGACTGGGGGGGACTTTGGTCTCCCTGCCCAACGTGGATGGCGGCCAGTCGGTGGGTGGGCGGCCTGGCAGGCCCTTCCCGTCTCCGCCGGTGGAAACGGTGCGGTGCTTTCCTCCCCTCCCTCCCGCAGCGCCGGTACCGGGGCCGCCTGCGCGCAGCCCGTCCTGCAGGGGGCGCTGCGGCGGGACGGGGATGGGAATGGGGGGGGAACGCTCCTCCGCCTGTCAACGGGGAGCAGCTGCTGCCCCGGGGCTGGCACCGCGCCCTCCCCATTGGCTGCCGATGACATCACCGCCCCGCCGCTCTCCAGCTCGGCACCGCCTCCGGCCCCGCCCCCGCCGCTTTGCCATTGGCCGTCGTGCCCGCCCGTCGCCGCCTGCCCCGCCCCTCCCGCGCCGTACATTTACGCGGTAGCCAAAAGAGAAAGTAACGAGGATGGTGCGGGCGGCGCGCGCGGGGCAGCGGGGCTGGGCGGCGCGCGGGGCAGCGGGCGCGAGAGGCAACGGCGGCCGCGCGGGGCCGCGACGCACCGCACCGGGCCGGAACGCGCCGCGCCGGTGAGTGCGGGAGGGGGGAGGAGAGGGCGCGGAGCGGTGCGCGGTGCCGAGGCGAGCTTTCCCGGGACGCGGGGGCTGCGGGAGCCCCGGGCAGGGCTGCGGCGGAGGGGAGCAACGGCCCGGCCCCCGCTCCCTGCGCTCGGGGGTAAAACTTTAACGTCCCGCTTCTCGCGGCTTTTTTTCCCCCTCACTCTCCCTGACGGGAGGAACAGAGGCATCTCCCTCGTTTATTTGATTATTTGGGGTTTTAATTACCTCAGGCGAAGACGCGCGGGGCTTGTTAGTCGTTTTTCTAAACAGCCGAAGGGGCGAGGGGAGGTTTGGGGAGAGCGGGCGGGGAAACCTCCCGGGCCGCTCCGCTTGGCCCCGGGACCGCCGCCGGCAGCGACATCTCGCCTGGCTCCGGCGGGGTTTGCTGCGGGGCAGGCGACACGCACGGCAGCGGCCCCGGCCCCGGGAGGAGGAGGGCTGGCTCTTCGGGACGGAGCATCTCGGTGCCGCTTGCCCGCGGGCCCGGCCCGGAGCTGGCTGGGGGAGGCGATGCCGTGCTGCCGGCGCTGCCTGGGTTTTTGGGGGGATTTGGCGGAGTTGGTGAAGTTGCCGTTGGGGATGCGTTTTTCAGCGGGAGCCGCAGCTGTTCACGAAGTTGCTGGGGAAGAGGAGGCACCGACAGGGCTCTTTGAGCTTGATTTGCTCTCCTTTTCTTTCCCTCTCAATGGGAAAGGGGTTTGTGTGGTTTGGTTTTTTTGTTGGGTTTTTTTTTTTATTGTTTTCTTTTTTCCCTAATCCTACATGGTGTCTCTTAGCAAATGGCCAGCCCAGGGTTGGGCAGGCTGTGACCTTGGCTGGGGCGGAGGGGACCCCTCTTTCTAGAAGGTGTGAAATGTGCTGGGAGAAGTACTGCTGGAGAACAGCAGCCTTCCCGGCCTTGGGGGCTTAACGGGGACTGGATTCACCCCTTTCACATAGGGGGATGGAGGTGCAAGGCACGTGCTTAAAGATCTTAAGAACCTAATTGTCTTCTTTTATGCTAATTTTTTGTTTAGCTTTATGTGTTCGAGTTTGTAACCGTCTTTGAGAACTTATTCGCAAGCTGATTTTATTGTAGCTTGCTGGAAAAGTTGCGTATCGCCACTGACACATTCAGCTCCCCTGCCTTCCTCCCCAATTAGTAGAGTCAGCCCGGTAGCTGCTTCCCTTGCAGTCGGTGAGGGGGACGAAAGGACGTGCCTCTCTGTCACTAGCAGTTGCGTGCCTCGCAGCCCCGGTTTTCAGAATAGCTCAGCACCATCTGCATGTAGACAAATGCCTCCTCCTGGGTGTAGCTGCTCAGCCCGTGCCACGTGCGCGCATGCAGATAGCTGGAGTATTTGCTGCGGGGCTGGAAAAGGGGTTTTAGCACTACTCTGAGCTGGTAACTGTCAGAAGAGGTTGTTAGGTTGTTACCTGTGGGTAGTGGGTGTTGACAAAGTAAGTTGCTGGATCTGACAGGCTGAGAGAGTTGTGGGTGTTCAGCCTGGAGAAGAGAAGGCTCCGGGGAGACCTCAGAACCCATTCCAGTCCCTAAAGGGGCTCCAGGAGAGATGGGGAGGGACTCTTGATCAGGGAGGGGAGCCATAGGGTGAGGGGGAACAGTTTTAAACTGGATGAGGGGAGATTCAGATTAGATCTCAGGAAGAAATTCTTTCCTGTGAGGGTGGTGAGACACTGGAACAGGTTGCCCAGAGAAGCTGTGGCTGCCCCATCCCTGGAGGGGTTCAAGGCCAAGTTGGACAGGGCTTTGAGCAACCTGGTCTGGTGGGAGGTGTCCCTGCCCATGGCAGGGGGTTGGAACTTGATGGTCTTTGAGGTCCCTTCCAACCCAAACTGTTCCATGATTCTATGTGTAGGCTTATGTGGTTTCATGGTGCGTTTTCATAACCTTTTTCTTCTTCCCATTTCTCCCCCCCCCTTTTTTTTTTTTTCTCTTCCAGGGTGATCTTGAGTTCTTCTTAACTTGCTAGTGCTCAGCCTCCTCATGCCTCCATCTCCTTTAGACGACAGGGTAGTAGTGGCACTTTCGAGGCCAGTGAGACCTCAGGATCTCAACCTTTGTTTAGACTCTAGCTATCTTGAATCTGCTTCTTCTGCCAGCGAGAGCCACCCCAGTCTGCTCGGCGCAGCTGTTGTGTCCCTAAAGACTGCTAATCTCACGTATATGCCCTCATCCAACGGCTCTGCACGCTCCCTGAGTTGTGGATGCAGCAGTGCCAGTTGCTGCACTGTGGCAACGTACGACAAGGACACTCAGGCCCAAACTCAAGCGAGCGCCGGAGCCTCCACCGCCTGCCCCGCCAACCAAATGGTCAACAGCAATGAGAACGCCGGCAGCCTGAGCCCGCTGGGCGGCGTGGGCAGCCCCATCTCGGGCACCACCAAGCAGCTCGCTAGCATCAAAATCATTTACCCCAACGACCTGGCGAAGAAGATGACCAAATGCAGCAAGAGCCACCAACAGAACCAAGGGCCTGTCATCATCGACTGCAGGCCGTTCATGGAGTATAATAAGAGCCACATCCAAGGGGCAGTCCACATTAACTGTTCCGACAAGATCAGCCGGAGAAGGCTCCAGCAGGGCAAGATCACCGTCTTGGACTTGATCTCCTGCCGGGAAGGCAAGGACTCCTTCAAGAGGATCTTTTCCAAAGAAATAATAGTTTATGATGAGAATACCAATGAGCCAAGCAGAGTAATGCCTTCCCAGCCGCTCCACATAGTGCTGGAGTCACTCAAGCGAGAAGGCAAGGAACCCCTGGTCCTAAAAGGTAATCTTCCTATTTGCCCACCTGTAAGCTCAAGGTTTGCATTGTAGTGGGTGTCTTCTGCTGTTGGCTTGGCTGATGGCTGAGATTCCAATTTCTAGGAAGGCCTGTGTTCCTTGAGTAACCGGTGGCAAAGCAAATGTCTTCCATGAACAGGGAGATGCTTGCTGTTCTCTGACTGTTGTCCGTCGGTAGTGGAGAGGGTGGGAACTGGAAGGAGGAGGAAATGTGCTTCCTGGTGTCTGTCCGTGCAGACAAAGAATTTCCCCCAGTGCTTGCTCGGGGTATTTATAGCCCAAGGGGCAGAGGTCCAGGAGGGTATGCTTCTCTTTTAGCTCGTCAGACTGACCTTTACTTAGCAGCCTTACTTTAGTCCGTATAAAGCTGAACTCATGGGTGCTGGAGATGGACAGCGGGAGAGCAGAAGAAGGGAGAAGGAGAGATGAAGGAGGCCATTTGGTCTGAGGCGTTGTGTCATGGACCAGTTAGCAATACCTGAGGAGCAGCCAAGCCTTGTTTTGCTTGTACACGGTCAGAATAATGGACAGAGGGAGATACTTTGTCTAAAAAGTGATGTGAAAGTGTTGTGTTTACGTGCTACGTGTGTAAATGGCTTTCCTGTAAAGCCTCCTGTTCTGATGTGGTGGTTGGTCTGCCCCGTGATGCTCTAGGGGAAATGAGCCCCACCAATTAGGGCAGCATCTGAGGACACTTCCCTTTCTTTCCTTGGCTCTGTAGCTCCTGTTTATAACCATGCTGCCCTCTAGATTGAACCTCCTTTCCCCTGGGCCTTTATGCCATCCAGGGACATGTTTGGCAGAGACTGTCTGTGGCACTAGGAAACTATGGGAGGATTTGCTGCTTGGCTCATGCTGTATGTCTTTAACTCACTTGATTTTTCTGTACAGCTTAATACTTTTACTCTGCCCAACGTGGCAGGAGAATGGATTGGGTCGATAGTTTATCCTCTTTCCTGTGTTTAGTTTCAGAGCTTTATAGCAGCTAAGGGTCCTGTGAGATACTCCTCTGTGGATGTAGCTTGTGGAAGCTTAAAATTGCGCTGAACCTTCTTCTTGCTCCCAGCAAGTGTATGGTCATGCTGGGCTTAATTTGCACTTGCTATGGGTTCCCAGTATGATTTTACTGAACCTCTCAGGAGAGGAGGTGCTTTGGAGGATGAGGTTACTGCTGAAGGCCTGTGTTTCTGGCAGTAGTCATTCTGTTGTACAGCCCTTACAACTAGATGTATGGTTGTAGTCTGCAAGCCTTCCTTACCCTTAGAAAGGTGGGATGCTGAAGGTGTTTGTCCTCTGTTTCTCTGAAAACACTGAGGCTTCTGTGAACCTCAAACTAGCAGTTTTTCAGTACCTGGAGCAAGATGCCCTGGCTGTGATGGAGCTGCAGGGCTGTAGTTGGCTCCTGAGGGCAGGTTGTGGGCAGCCTCTTCTCCTACCTCCCAAGGCTGGGCGCTGCATGGGGCTTAACTGAGCGCTTGTGGGTTTGCTTGGGCTGTTTTTGGGTTCTGAGAAACATTATCATCTGCCTCGAAGATCTGCTTAGAAGAAACCCCCTCCCCAGGGTGTTCTGCCAACAGATCTGGCAGTGTGCTAGAAGACAGAGGAAGCCGAAATCCTTTGCTTTTTGGACTTAGTGATTGACTGGGCCAGAGCATACCTCACCTGGGGAGGTGTGTAGCCAGGAGCTTCTCTCCATCACCTTAGCTCCTCTCCCTGCCTTTGAAGTGGGGCTTAAACTGGGGTCAGATGGAGTTGGGCATAGGATAAAGTAGCATTTAGGAAGGCTGTGGTTAAGTTTCTGAGCTGGAGGAGCAGTGCTGGAAGGGCTTGCTACCGAGTTTCACTTGTCAGAGCATTTTTTCCATCATGCTGGAGTGCAGATGCTCCTGGGTTTGGGCACTGATATGAAATGGGGGGTAGCTGGGGAGCCCCCTCTGCCTCCGTCTGTTATTTCCAGCGATTTCTCCTGCTCGCTGCAATCCAGCCCTAATTTATTGCCGGCCCATCTGATCCCTTCTGTGTTGTGTTTGCAAACACTGGTTGCTAGCTTGGCCATCCAAGCTGATGTCCCCCTGATCCGGTGCCACCGTCTCCATGTTTGGTGCTGCCTGTCAGCCCCCCCTTCCCCCCCCCTTGCCGTTTTCGTGGGGTGAATCCAGCCGGCAAAGCCCAGGGTTGGGTTACAGCTTTGGCTTTAGTAGCCGTGTGGCCCTGCCTGCATTTGGGTTTTAGGTGCCCGAGTCTCTTTAAGCGGCCGAGAAACTCTGTGCTGTTGACAAAGGCCAGGCGGTGAGCTATAGATAAACGTATGTGTGGGGCACCTTATTAGGCTCCGGTTAAAAAGAGGTGGCCTGATTTATTTTTAATGTAGCAGAGCAATATATTAACTAGCACTGTGGCAAGGAAGCGTTGGGGTTTTATATATGCTGTGCCAGGGGGGAGGTTAGAACCTCTGTTCCTCCCTTTCTATCCATGTCTGTCTTTGCTGCTTCTTCTAACATGGAGCTTTTTTTTGGTCGTGAATGTAAGACTTGCATAATTTTGATTTAACCTCTTTAGAAGCAAAGATTTGCTTATTTCTTTGCCCACAAGACACAGCTGCACTTGAGACAGGCATAAACCCCCTATCTCTTAAAAAAAAAAAAAAATTTAAAAAATCATGTACTTCAGAGTGCTGCTACAGGGGCTCTCCCAGGGCTGGAAGTGCTGCTCAGCCTGTTTGTACACAAAATGGGAAGAAGTCACATTTTCCCCCAGGCACCCACACACCTTCCTGCTAGGCCGTGGTATTGCACACTGACTGAAACCTAAAGGCCACATTTTTGGGGATGCACTTATTTTTTTAATTTTTTTTTTTTTTTGCTTAATGTGGGGAAGGAGAAGAGGAAGAGCCAGTGATGTGAGCCCAGTGTCCTTTCCATGTGAGGCCAGAGCTGTTGCTGAGTTTGGGGAGGGGGAGCACAGCAGTGCTGCCCCAGCCCTTCTCGGTGGAGTTGTGCCCCTTTTTGTCCTGCAAACCCACTGTCAAGGCATCCCTGTCCCTTCCTCCTCCGAGTGCCTTGGCTCATAGTGAAAGTGGCCCAGAGTCTTGGGGGTTTGTGTGCTCAAGTTTGTTACGAGGACCAAAAACTAGGTAGTGGGAAAATCATTTGTGTTCAGACAAAAAAATTATTATTTTTCTCAGAATGAAGTGTTTAGGTTTGGAGTTGAGCATCTCTTTTTCCAAGTTAAATTAAATCTATAGCTTAAACAAAAATGAAAAATGGAAGCATCTCTGCCAACACATTTCAGTAGCTCCTTGCAGGGGAGGTTGGATGAAATGACCTTTAAAGGCCCCTTCCAACCCAAATGGTTCTGTGATTCTCACACAAGAGGAGTTGCCTTTGTGTCTGGTGATGTTATCTTCATCCTGCCCTTCCTCCTCTGCCTTCCAGCCCCATCTGTGGGACCCTTGGGAATCTGCTGAAGTCTTGTGTTCAGTTCTTAGAGGCTTCTGTGTTTGACTGCGGGGGAATAACCAAATTCAAAGGTGCAAAGTGTAATTTGGTGAATAATCCACTTTTTCCTCACTGCACCTTGTAGACCGATGGCTGCAAGGGGGTGGGGAGGACCTGGCGAGTGGTGACAACAACTGGTTGCTTCTCTGTTCTTGTTCCCGGTCCGAGGTGCTTATTTATGCTCTGGCTTTCAATCCTTTCATTGCTCATCTAACAGGGAAATAAATGAAGTGACTCGCTCTGGTTACAGCAGGGAGTGTGAGACCTGCCAGCAGACCACTTCATGCTCTCTGCCATGGTCTAAGAATAGCTTGGGATCTCTTACCACCTTCTCTTATCGGGGAAGTTGAAACAACTGCCAAGGGAACGAGACACCTATAAAAGGAATAAGTACCTGGTTTATGTTGTCCATGTTTGTGTAAAATACTACGATCAGCTGCCTTTAGAATACTTGACCTGGTCATAATCTCATGCAAATACGTTATTAATTATTAATCACATAATTCAACAGTGCTGTTGTTACTTTAAACCCTAATTAAATTACTCTGCACAAGTGTATTTGAGAGTAAAACTTGACGCAATGTTCAACAAATCCAGCTGACCAACAGAACGCGTGCCTGGCACTTATTTCCATCGGAGATCTCCGCTGAATAATTATTAGGTCATGGTTGTAATAGGGAAATGTGTATTTTTAGGTGTTAAGTAATGTGTGTGAAGCGTCCAATGTGTTTAAAACTGAAGTGTGTTCCCTCCGTGCTGTGGAGGAAATCTGGCCCTGTCAGTTACTGGGGAAGAAACTTGTGCTGGCTCTGCCTGGCCTGAGATTTCACCCTCAGTTTTCAGGCTCTCGTTGCTGGAGCTTAAAAAAGGATGTGTCTCCACTGGAGTAGATATGGAGTTATGGAGGACCATAACACTTGAAAATTAGTTGTGTGTGCCTGTGCCTCTTGCATCTAGATAAATTGGGGCCATAGTGTGATTGGAGAGTGCAGCCTTTTCTGTGCTTTGAGGGGATGCTTCTGCGGAGGAGTGAACCTCTAAGCTTTGCCTATTCAACAGTGATGGAAAGCATAGTGTTTCCTCCCAGTTGATGGCATCTGAGAGGTCACAGTGTGGCTTGCACAGTGCCCATCATGTTTTTAGTTGTCCTGGAGGGGAAGAGAGCAATGACATTGCCTTGGAAAGAGGGGAACAGGAGGGACACTTAATTTTCTTATTTTATTTATTTTAGTTCTCCAGCTTCTCATACCTTCGTAAGAGTCAAGAAGCAAACTGTTACATTAGGGAAATATCTCTGATGCTTGTAAAGAAAAATCTGGCCCCAGCTCTGTTTAAACTGGGAGGGACATCTCCTGCTATGATCCTGGTAGGTAGATGTTGGGTTATAATGAGCTGAATGCTTTGTGTGCTGCCCTGAACCTGCTGGAGGTGAGACTACTAGTAAAATCTTCATAGAGTTGCTTTGCTGATGGGTCTTCTGGCTTTTTGT